AGGTGTGTGTGTCAATGTCAAGGAATCCCTCCCAGGAGCCAAGAGGAAGTCTCTCGAAGCTGGAAGGGAAAGATGTTTTCCCCTCAAATCAATCCAGCTTCAGACACATCTATTGGTGACAAATGCCCCTTCCCCCCCAAAAAAAAATATGTGTTCTGTGTGCTAACAATATAGCTTTCAAAAAGAAGAGGAGAAGGAGGAGGAGGAGAAGAAGAAGAGAAAGAAAGAAAGAATTTGCTGCAAGAAAATTTTCAAACCATGCCCTTTTTTTTCATCATACGTGTTTTCTATAAACTTTTTGAAGGACCCCTCGTATAAATATCCCATTCTTCATTTAATATTCTTTGTATTGATTTTTAAAAGTGTATTACCTTTGCGAGGATGAGAGGGAGGATGAGAAATGGGGAGACAGAGAGAGAGAGACAGAGAGAGATGGAGAGAGAGAGAGAGCGAGAGAGAAGAGAAGGGAAGGGAAGGGAAGGGAAGGGAAAGGAAGGGAAGGGAAGGGGAGGGGAGAGGAGGGGGGAGGGGAAGGGAAAGGAGGAGAGGCACGGCAAGACAAGGCAAGTAGGGACCAAGATGTGACATGGTGATATGGTGATTAAGGCACAGGACCCCCACATGACTTACTATGTATGGTTCAAGCCCTGGACCCAGAATCTCAAGAGACCATTCTCCCCAAGGGTGGTTTTTTTGCTTTGCCTCTCTCTGTTTCTCTCTCTGTTTCTCTCTCTGTTTCTCTCTCTCTCTCTCTCTCGCACGCGCACGCAAGCACATACGCTCTATGGCAAAGACCTTAAAAAAAAAACAAACCCACAAAACTTTGCATTTTCGTAAAACTTAATAAAAAGTCATATTTCAGTCTGTACAGTCACCAGAGGTACACAATTATCAGAAATGTACACACTGCATTTGGTATCCCCCTAATCTTTGGCTCTGTGTCTGTTCTGCTCTTAGGAATCTCCATTTTCTACAGGGCTATTCCCATCCTTGTGTGTGTCAGCTTTGCCCCTTTTCCCTGTGGGTGCCTTCTCCTCTTCTTTGCAGAGGCCTTTTTAGGCTTGGACTCTGACTTTGGAGCAGGTGTGGAGACAGGCTTGCAGATCTCCGTGGTCCCCCCTCCCTCTCGGCCTCACCTCCTAGCAGCCCCTCCGCCTCTCTCTCGGGTGTGGTAGCACCACCAGCAGCAGGGACGCAGCAGCAGTGGGGGAGTTGGGATTTGGTCTGTGCAGGGGTCATTCTCCGCTCTTCTTCTCACTGCTCCATATTATTCTTCTAACATCTACAGAATCTGTCATGAAGTCCCCTTTTTAAAAATTTGTCTATTTTTTCTTTTTTTTGAAGAGGTTTTTGTTATACGGCGCGTGCGCTCGCCAGACAGACAGAGAGAGACAGAGAGACAGAAAGCGAGAAATCACCCCACAGGGGGGATGGCCGATGGCCACACC